AACATCCACGAAACAAAGAAAGGTCTGTCACAGCCAAAAAATACACTCCAGACACGCCGCTCGCACTAGAGGCACAGCATGGCCGCCTAGTAACGACCCCGACCACTGCCGCTCGGCCTGACCGGAAAAAACCGTAGCAAGAAGCTAGCGAAGTCGTAGTATATATTGTCACAAACAGAACTGCCCGGTAAACCGTAGGCAGAGAGAGAGAAGAGGACAACAAACGAGGGGCTGTGACTATATATATATATATATATATATATATGTAATGACCCGCCAAAAACACAGACTGAGAACACTGCTGATTTCTAGGATTTGCCACTGGAATGAATGCCTTGCTGTGATTCCCGCATTCTGCTGTGGTTCCCAAGTCTGTGTGTGTGTGTGACCCGCAAGGGTACTTGTTGGTTGCAAGGCCCCGCAGAGCCGGTACTTACCTGTGGCCGTGACTTTGAGGGTTGCAGCGGGGGAAAACACTCGAGTAGCGGGGGGTAGGCCCGCGACACTTAGGGCAGAGGGGAAAAACACTCAAGTAGCAGGTAGGCCGGTACCACTGAAGTAGTTGTAGAAGTGTCAGGTACCGGAGGCCGAGCAGAAGAAGACAAAAAGTTGGCTGGGGTTCTATAGAGTGGGGGGGGGGAGGGGCGGGGAAGGGCGGATGAGAAAAATAGGGGGCGAAAAGCGCCCACTCGGGAGAAGCCAGTATGAAACGGTACTTGAAAAGTAGAAACAGGGACGTGAGAAGGAAATAGGAGGACGGCCCCTGCTGGAATAGACTGGCACGGTGAGGTGGCAGATCTTGCGACGAGATTTCGTTTTTTTTTTTTTTTTTTTTTTTTTTCGATATCTGCTTTTCTTTCCTTGAGGCTCCGCCGCGTTTTTCCCAACGGTAACTCGTAGGGAAGCAGCGGGTTTCTTGAAAGCGGACGAAGTATGAGCAGATATATTGGAATATTGGGAGTAGTTGCTCCTCTTGGCCTGAGCAGCAGGACAGAAGGGTCGAGCGCCGGTGGTGGTTTCATCGGCGATGTTCAGGGATTCTTTGTTGTGAGAAGTTAAGTCCATGAGTTCCTGATTGGTGTATTTGAATTGCATTGGAGCCAGTAGATCAACCTTGCAGTGCAGCCTGGGCACGATCAAGTGGTGCCATCAGTGTTACGACTGATGTGCGTTTCATTTTCATTTTCATTTTCATTTTCATCTGTATTTGGTTATCTTCTTTGGATTATATTCTCGTCACCTAGATCGTCCACGGTAAGTGCCAAGTCTCCTTCCGGTTATGGACGTATCCCTCTCCTTTCTTCACGTACTTCGTGACGACATACGAACCTATCATGCGAGATGCTCTTCACTGGTAACGAAGGGAAGTCCGTGGGAACTGTAAGCTGGGGGGAGGTATTCGGGCTGGGACTGACCGATTCTAGCACGAAGCATGAATAGGAGGGGAAGGAAGCGCTGTGAATTTAGGGATTTCTGCCGCTCAGCGTGGCACACGCGGTGAGAGACGTGATTTAAGTGAAGGAGGCGCTAAGGCCGAACGGGGGTGTATAGCAGTCTGCAACGGGGGAAAGGAGGACTCACCTCCGCGATATGCGGAAGGATGCATGATTCTACATCCGTGTGGGAAGTATTGATGAGCGGGTCGTAGTAGCTTGACGAAGGAGCAGTAACAGCAGGAGAAGGGGTTAAGCTGAAAGGGCCGTCTCTGATGGCAAATTGAGGAGGGGGCATCTGTGAGGGTAGTGTGTATTTAAGTATCTGTGACACAGGGGATGATGCGGTAAAAAAGTTGGGGTTCTGTATCGGCGAGTCAATACTTGGACTGTATAGGCTGTGAAGTGCGGACTCTTCAAGCACAACGACGTCATACCAGGCTCCGAAGTAGGTGGTTGGGGCATGGAATGATGGAAGTATCTACGACCAAGCGTGGTGCTGAGTAAAAAGAAGCACGACTGATGCGCCGAATTCCACGTACTAACGAATGTGGGGATTACTTGTTTTGTGGTTGTGATTATTGAGTACTAATAATTGTGTGCAGGAAGCTGATTCAGGTGCTTATAATCTAGTAACGAATTTGATCCGTGACTAGCGTTCCATGCGAGCGCAAGGGACAGGGCGTGGGAGGGGAAGGTGGTCCAACTGTGGGAGGTATTGGATGAAGAATACTACTCTACCACCCCCGCAAGGACAGCAAACTCCGCCTACGTACCAGCAACCTCTACCTGCTTACTTGCAGCCGATGGGGGGAATTTACCATCCATCACCGTTGGCACCGTATGGGTTTACCCCGATTCAGCAGCAATTCGCACCAGTAATTCATCAAGTACCGACATTCTACCCAGGACAGGCATCGACTTCTGCTAATGGGCAGTATAATCAAGGGTTTGGACGTGGAATCGGGGGGAACTACCAACCGAGAGCTTTCTTTACAAGGGAGCATGCAGACTTTATTGACAAGCTGAAAATCAAGGATGCCATTGAGGAGGCAGGAAAGAGAGACATAGAAGAGATAGCAAGGTTGAAAGATCTGAGCCGCGAGTCTATGAGACAAAAGGAGAAGGGTAGGAAGGATGGGAGTACAAAGAAGTAGGGTGGAAAATACAAAGAGAAAGGTAAAGAGGTCGAAGAAAGGGAGGTTGATGATATGAAAAGATGGGTGGCAGAAAACTTCGGAAATTCTTTGAAAATCCTGACAGAAAAGTTGGAAGTGGTTGAAAAGAAGTCAAAACTGGAGGAAAGTGAGGTGGAGGAACTAAAGAGATTGAGAGATGAGAAATAACTAAGAGAGCTGAGGGAAAGCTCGAGCAATGAAAAAAGGAAGAAGGACATGGCATCGCCAGGACGGCCGCGAGTCGGAAAGGTTAGATCTCGGTCAGGGCTACTAAGGAAAGGTGAAAAGAAGAAGACACCTGTGGAAGTGTCATCTGATAATGCCGAAAAGGATGCTGTAGTCCAGAATTTAAAAGGGAAATTAGAGGGATCAGGGGGGAACCTCGAGGAGGTGCTGGTGTTAAAAGATCTCATTGAGGAATTATTAGCAGCAAAGAGTGTTGCAAGGAGTTCATCGGGTGGGATTGGAATGAGCATGAAAGGGAATGAGAAACAGGGAGAACCGGAAAAAGGGGAAAAGGCTAAGGATGTGGCAGAGAAGAATGAGGAACCTGATCTGGCAATGGGGAAGGAAACCGGGAAGGAGGATCTTGCCTCTGGCCTGTATTTCAAAGACAGGGTTGTCTATTACTGTGCTATGCATTATACTGAGATTCAACCTCTATGCAAGAAGAAGGACATTCCGTACAAAAAGAAAGATGGGGGTGTATGGGAATTGGCGAGACTTAACTTTGAGGTGTTGCAGAAGTTAGAGGACCAGAAGGAAGAGAGCAACACGACTGACAATGAGACGAGTGAGGACAGCAGCGAGCATGAGAGCAACTCGGAGTCAGAGAAAGACTCCGGACAGAACGACATCGCAGGGATTTGAACGTGCCTTATGAAAAGAACCCTCTTGAGGGCCTGCAGAAGAATCATAGATATATCAAGCAAGTATGGTCGTGTGTTAGAAAAGGAAGTCAATGTGGTGTTGAAATTGCTAGTCCTAATCCTATGTTTAAGGGGTTTTATAAGATGGGGAAAGGTGTATGTTAAATATTGGGTAAATATGACACATGAGCAAAGTTTAAGAAGTAAACTACTGCAGGCTAGGAGTTGTGTATATCTATTGATCTCTCATTTTTTAAAGCTTACGTATGTGGGAAAGACAGAGAAGGCTCTTGAAACAAGGTGGATGGAGCACCAGCGAAGTATTTTTTCCAAGCAAAAGCAGAAATTACACCGCAGGCTGGAAAAAGCTGGTGCTCGTAACTACGTTGCTCTACCCATCTTATATGGAGATGGTAAATCTCTTGGAAGAATGGAGGAATGTACCATTGGTTATACTAATCCAGACCTGAATATGAGAAGAGCAAAAAGAAAGTTAAGTAGGAGAAGTCCAAGAAGGCAAGCTAAGAAAGCAGGACAAAGGGAAGGAGTGAGGGTGCCATTGGTATTTAACTGTAAAGAAGCTGGTGTGGTTAATGAACCGAGCCTCCTAAAAGTACTTAAGAAGGTTAGGGATATGAACCAATGTAAGATAAGCAACGCTAAAGGTGACCAGTGACTGCATGCATGGAGGTTGGTCAAGTTACTCTATGGGGACAACTGTGTTGAATTTAAGGGGAAGGGAATTAAATTAAAGGATGCTAAGCAGTCTATTCAAGCAGGGGGGGAATGAACGCTGACTGAAATTAAGAAAACCAAAAGCAAAACAGACGAAGCAAAAACCGAAGCTATCTTGATCTTAAGAGCTCCATGGAAGAGAAAGTTATTGTACAAGAAAAACTTGGATGAATTACTGCTTATAAATACTGCCATAAAGCAGCTGAACACAACAAGGGGGAGACAAATCACAAGAGGGATTATTACTCGGGTCACAAAGAAAATATATGGAATCAACCCAAGGTGTAGGATTTTTGTGAAATTGCCCTTTTCTGAATATGTAAGCAAAGGTAAGGTACATGGGGCTGTAAAAAGTTGGTTGAAGGATCAAAATTTTCCTAAGGCTCTATCTGACTTGTTGGTGGGCAGAATGAGAACGGTCTGGCAGAAAAGGAAGTCTGTTGGCGGGATCCTGCATAACCATCAACGCTTCGCAAGGAGATGTGGTCATCCCTGCACTCGTGAAACATTTGACTTGCCCCGAATACAAGGGCATGTTCAAGTAAGGTTAAATGTCATTGGTGGGATTCGGGACTTTGTCCTTAACGCAAAAAACATTCCCCATCCTGAAACTTTGATAACAAGACAGGAAGTGAATCGGGCCTGTAATATGGCCATTGAACCATTGAAAAGGATGGGTTGCAACACAGTATTCGTGAAAACCTAACAAAAAAAACTGTTAGGTTTGCACGAAAAATTTTAAAGATTCTGATAGTACATTTTTCAGGCCTCCGAATTTTTTTACCTTGCTTAATTGTTAAATGTCTACATTTTGATAATTTCGTGATTCTTTTTTTCCGAAACTGTCCCTCTACACTTTCACTGCGTAGGTCTGCAAATTCCGTTCTTTTTTTCAAAAAAAAAAAAAGGCCATTTTTTTTTCTTTTTTGCAACCTACTCCTACTCTGAGTTTGTAAAGATACTTCTTTTCTGATTTTCTGCAGTTTTAGCACCGAAGGTTCACAATCGCTTTCTGCATCACCTTTGGCATTCAGTGGGATTGGACAGTCTTTCTTTTCGAATTTTGCTTTATTCAAAATTATTATTTTTTTTTTTTCCTTTTTTGATTAGGAAACTGTTCAATTTTGGATGTGTCCGATCCTTCCCACCTGTCCGTTGCCTACCTGTTCCTCCCCCCCCCCAGTCCGGGTACCGGGCCAGTCCATCAGATTGGTCCTCGGGGGACTCTTCAGACTTCGGGCACAGCAGTGCATGACACTGCTCACTCGATCACAGACCAAGGCCATGGACCGGAAGGCGGGAGAATCCCTCCTGGCCTATGAGGAACGCCTGGCGGCATTCATTCAGGAGGCCAATGATAGGGCTGCCGCCGCGGCCAAGGAACGTAATCGGCTTGAACAAGAGGAGGAGGCCAAGCGACAGAAGGAGGAACAGGACCGACTTCGTCAAGAAGAGGCAGACCTGCAGGTGGCAGCCGAACACCGGTCACGCCAGCGGGAACGACTGTTTATGCGGGAGATCGTGATCGGCGATGAGGCCGCACATTGGGTGGAAGAGGCATCTGCAGACGGGGCCCTGGAGACTGAGAAAGGGCTGCCAGCCCTTGCGCAGGTCTCCCACGACCTCGTGGCCACCTGCGCTCTGCAGCAGGAGGAAATCCTTCACCTGGAGCAGACAGTGGACCAGATGCTCGCACGGCTGCAGGCGGTGGAGAAACAGCCAGCTGCTGTAGCAGCCGCAGGACCTTCCAACCTTACCACCCGTGTGCAAGTTTTGGAGGATGACGTCAGCAACATCAAGCGTGTGCATCAGGACTTCCGGACGTCGCAGCAAGCAACGAACTCGCAGTTGGAGACGCAGGTCCAGGTTGCTGCCACCGTGACGCCCGCCTCCGCATCCTCCCGGGGCCCACCCAGACTGGATGACATTCCAGTTTTCTGCGATCAGTTCAAGACGGAACCGATCCCGTGGTGGCGCCAGTTTACTCTCAGGCTCGACATGCACCATGTCCCGAACAACGATCGACATCCGTGCTTGTACCACCGATCTGGTGGTGCGTGTCAAGCATGACTGGACAACATCTTGACCAGCCACGGCGTAGCAGTGTCGGAACTGCACACCAAGCTCACTTGGCAGGAGTTGACCGACGCCTGGCACAAGCGATTCCAAGAAAAGCCGCCCGACCTGCAAGCGATGGACAAGCTCAACAAGCTCCATCAGAACACGCTGCTCAGTCAGGACTGGATTACCGAGTTCCAAAGACTCGTCTCCACACCGGACCTGCCGCTCGCATTCCGCGCCATCAAGCACTTGTTTATCATGCGCTCGTGTCCAGCTCTGCAAAACGCGTTGACGCAGATTGCAGAGACACTCGACACATCTGACAAGCTTTTCAGCATAGCGTCACAGATCATTCTCACGAATATCGAAGCCCGCAACGCCGACCGATCTTCCGCGACAACGAGCGGCACCCAGCTTAAGCCAAAGGTGGCTTGCATTACTTCTACCGAGGCTGCAACACCAAACGAGGGTGAAGTGTTGGCAGCTGCCCGGGATGGTGGCCGGCCGCGCAACAATCACGGCCGCGACAAGATGAAGACTCAGTCCACCTCTACACCGAGCACCGGATCAGCCGCCGACGAACCTTGGGCACAATACGGACTCTCGGCGAATTCTTATCGCACGAGACTCAAGTACCATTACTGCCTTTGGTGCAACAGCACCATCCACGATGTTGCACATTGCCCCACCAAGGGGAAACCCCGTCAGAGAAAGTAGGCGCTGCCGAGGGTGACTCGACACCTCCCTCGACGCCATCGGAAGCGGTTGTGCGCACGACGGCCCTTTCTTCCGAGGCATATGCGGATGTCGGGAGTGTTCCACTTACGTTCGAAGACTTCGCTGCCCGGCTCGTTCCTTCACTGGATGCTTCTCAAGGACAAGATACATGTGCGGCTTTCTCACCGTCCGAAGGTTCTTCCGCCAGTTCGTCTTCATCAAGGGATTCGGCAAGCGTGTTCAACGAGGAGGCTTTGGACTGCTCACGCCCGAGGACTTCGCTTGGATTCCTCTCCCTACGACGGGCAACCTTCCGGGGCCGCAAAGCGCAGCCCTATGCGCCCTCTTACACGAGTATCTTTCCTTCCATGCACCACCAACTTCGYCGAYGGTARACGAAGYCGCRGTGGGGGACATGCTTGGCTACGTTGCCAASGTSGCCCGCGRGTTTGTCTCGCAACGGTACGAAGAAAACAACACACCGTTGCTCTACGTTCGCATTCAGATTGGGCAAGCAGCCTGCAACGCCTTGCTAGATTGCGGCGCAACTCGCAACTTCATCAGCCAGTCCTTCATGACTCGGGCTGTCCTTGGCGCACAAGTACGGAGGAAGTCACATCCGACGACGGTCGCTCTTGCCGACGGTAAGACGAAACAACTTTTAGACCGTTACATCTCGGCTGTCCCGGTGTACTTTGCACCGCACGCATGTGAACCCGTCACTTTTGACGTGTTGGACACCGACTTCGATGTCATTTTGGGGATGTCTTGGCTTTTTAGCGCGGACCACACGGTCAATTTCCATCGACGCACGCTCACGATTAATGATGCAACTGGCGCCGAGGTCCCGTGTACTATTCCTCCTCCTCGCTCTTCCATTCGGTGCCAAGTCATGAGTGCCAAATCTTTTCGAGACACATGCCGTTCCGAGCATGTCGAAGAGATTGGCATCGCTTTTCTTCGAACCATCCCGACGACCGATTCATCGTCCACGGATGTGTCTTCCGACCCCCGTTTGACCCGGTTGTTAGACGAGTTCTCAGATGTTTTTGAGACACCCTCCGGTATAGTGCCGGACTGGCCAATCTCTCACGCGATCATACTTGAGGTCGGCGTCGTGCCACCGAAGGGATGCATTTATCGCATGTCCGAGGAGGAGCTCACGGTTCTCTGTGCGCAACTCGACGATCTACTTGACAAGGGTTGGATCCGCCCTAGAAGCTCACCTTACGGTGCGCCCGTTCTCTTCGTTCAGAAGAAGAACAAGGACCTTCGACTTTGCATTGACTACCGACGCCTCAACGCGCAAACCATCAAGAATGCGGAACCTCTACCTCGCATTGACGATTTGCTTGAGCGGTTGGGCGGCGCCAAGTACTTTTCCAAGTTGGACCTCAAGTCGGGCTACCATCAGATTTCCATCCGCCCGCCAGATCGGTACAAAACCGCATTTAAGATGCGATATGGGCATTTTGAGTGGGTAGTTATGCCTTTTGGCCTCACCAACGCCCCGACCACCTTTCAGGCGGCCATGACCACCGAGTTTCGCGCTATGTTGGACCGCTTCGTCTTGGTCTACTTAGACGACATCCTCGTCTATAGCCGAACTCTAGAGGAGCATCTCGAGCACCTTCGCCGTGTTCTAGAGACTCTTCGGTCAGCCCGGTACAAAGCTAACCGCAACAAATGCGAGTTTGTCCGGCAAGAGCTTGAATACTTGGGTCATTTTGTCTCTCCGGAAGGCATTCGTCYRTTGRCGGACAAGATTCAAGCCATCCAGGAGTGGCCCGAGCCGAAGAATGTGACGGACGTCCGATCCTTCCTCGGCTTGGCCGGTTATTATCAGCGTTTCATCAAGAGTTACTTGAAGATCGCGGCCAACCTAAGCAAGTTACTTAGCGAGGAGCGGCCTTTTGACTTCGATGAAGATGCGCGCCATTCTTTTGAAACACTCAAAGCGACACTCTTATTTGCCGAGGAGTTACATATTTACGACCCGCTTCTAGCTACGCGCGTCACTATCGATGCGTCGGGCTATGGCATTGGGGCGGTCCTTGAGCAACACGATGGCACGGACTGGCACCCAGTCGAGTACTTTAGCAAGAAAGTACCTCCCGTGCATTCGATCGACGACGCACGGAAGAAGGAGCTTCTTGCCTTCGTCCACGCCCTCAAGTGTTGGCGACATTTCCTCCTTGGTCGGAAAGCATTCCGATGGGTAACGGATAACAATCCGTTGGTATTCTATAAGTCGCAAGACACGATTAATAGTACCATTGCCCGTTGGATGACCTTCATCGACCAGTCTGACTTTTTCCCTGATCACATTCCTGGGAAGTCAAACCGTTTTGCGGACGCCCTCTCACGGCGACCGGATCTTTGCACCGCAGTCTACTCTACCTTCGAGATCGACGACGACTTGCGGGAGAACTTCATCCGCGGCTATCAAGCCGACCCCCACTTTCGCGACAAGTACGCGAATTGCTCCTCTCCGAATCCGGTGCCTTCGCATTATCGGATCCAAGAGGGCTACCTACTTGTGCATTCACGGGGTAAGGATCTTATTTGTGTGCCGAATGATTTACACTTGCGCACACGGCTTCTTGGCGAGTTTCACGATGCGCCCGCCTCCGGACATTTTGGTGTCAACCGTACACTTGGCCGACTTCGCCAGCGGTTCTATTGGCCCGATCTTCTCAAGGACGCCACCCGCTATTGTGAGTTGTGCGAAGTCTGTCGGCGTTGCAAGTCACGCAACCATCGTCCGTTCGGTGAGCTACACCCATTACCAGTGCCCCTTGGGCGACGGGAAGCAATTCCTATGGATATCACCGACCCCTTCCCGAAGCACAAGACCGGCGTTGATGGGATCCTCACGGTCGTCGACTGCTTCACCAAGTACGCCATGTTTTTGCCTTGCCGCTATCACGCAAAGGCACCGGAGTTAGCCGAGGTCTTATACACCGGTTGGATTCGCTCCAAGGGCTACCCCAAGGAGATCGTTTGCGACCGGGACACTYGCTTTCTCTCCGACTTTTGGGTCGCCCTCGTCAAGCGATGGGGCTCATCTTTGAAGCCGAGTTCGGCTCGCCACCCGCAAACCGATGGTCAAACGGAAAGGGCGCATCAGACCGCTCAAGTCCTTTTACGCACTCTCATCCGTCCCGAC